TAACATACCCGGGTTCGTTCAGCAAGATTGAATGGTTAGAATTTTTATTATGTCTTCTTTTTTTTAACAAACCTGAAAACGAAATGAAAAACAAATAAAACTTACGTTGTGGAAACTTAGTCAATTTTACTTACTTGACATGCGCCCGACAATAACAAATATTCGGGAAGTTGTGATATAGAGCAGGCGCTACAAGTAGTTGAGTATGCAAAATGTGAGGACCGGCAAAAATGCTCAAATTCATATTCCTGTGATCCTAAAGAATGGGAAAGTACATGTTGCCGGCAGCTGGAGTGGTCCCTAACTCTCCTGCCATCCCCCAATGCAAAGTTATATGGAAAATATCACAATTTCAAGTCATTTCACAATAATTCCTATTGATTGTACCTAAGGCTTTCTTTCCAAGCACTCAAAATAAATTACCTACCACTTGTTGGATATTTTTACAATTCTGCTCCTAAATATACACAAGTAAAAGAAGACTGCGAGATGTACAGGGTCATCCAACGACGACTGAACAGGGGCTTATTTTTGACCTTCCCTGTTCCTGTAGTTTTGAAAAAAAAATAGCCAATTGGCATATTTTTTTCTGGAGAATTCAAAAATGGTGATTTTTTTGTACCATTTTTGTATTCTCCAGAAAAAAAATGGCTATTTTGAATTTTTTCAAAACTACAGGAACAGGGAAAGTCAAAAATAAGCGCATTTTCAGTCGTCGTTGGATGACCCTGTACATCTCGCAGTCTTCTTTTACTTGTGTATATTTTGGAGCAGAATTGCAAAGATATCCAACAAGTGGTAGGTAATTTATTTTGAGTGCTTGAGAAGAAAGCCTTAGGTCGTAGGGATTAATAGGAATTATTGTGAAATGACATGAAGTTGTGATATTTTCAATATAACTTTGCATTGGGGAATGGCAGGAGAGTTAGGGACCACTCCAGCTGCCGGCAACATGTACTTTCCCATTCTTTAGGATCACAGGAATAGGGTTTTGAGCATTTTTGCCGGTCCTCACATTTTGCATACTCATTTCTGTCTAACTCCAGGTCTAATATGTAAAATAAACAAAAAATTTGTGAAACGTCTAATTTATTACTAGAGAAAATCGGTTCTCGACCTGGAACTCACGAGGGGAAAGAGCATGGCAGAGAAACCCTCGATCTAACATTCCTCAAAAATCAAAACATACTGTATCATTTTAATAATTAATTGTGAGTCATTAATGGTTTTAAATTAGGTATCGTTCTTGTCCTTGTGCTAAAATTTTAATTTCACACACTACATTCAATCAACACTACCTATATTCAATACTAAAGAGTTTTTGGTTAGTTACCCAGTTTCACCAACAGGTACTGGGGTCCCGTATGGGAGGCTACTCAGCTATAGTTGTTATTTTGAGCCAATATCTCTAGATTGATTTTTCTACGTTGTGTTCACAACATGAAACGACTTTTGTTTGAATACATGGACAATGCACATGTTATAAAAAAATGTTATAAACAAACAAAAAAACATAAAAATAAAATAATAATACTTGTATAAATTGAACTCTCGAAGACAAAATAACATTTATTCAACTGACCTGTGAATGCTCCTTATGACACACAAACTAATCACAAACTTGATCGAACAATCAGTTTAATACAAAATAAAAATTGAATAATGAACAATGGCGGGCAACCTTCTCAGTGCCGGCCCGAGCCTATTCTTAGGATGGAGCGAGATCCTACTTTGGCGCCCCTAATTCAAATGTGAATTGTACTCGCATGAATTTTGCCCAAAACCCATAATATGTCCCTATCTATCTTATCAATGGAAATTTGAAAACATCCATGTTCATTGGTACCGTTGGTACCTACTATTTTCCTTTTGAGAGTGGATTTTTAAAGCAGAATGACAAACAAATTAAATAATGAAAGTTTTGTGAAAAATGTAGGTATTTATTCATTATAATATTTACTTTTCAAAAAAATCAGTGATCACCCCTTTAACAATAAGGTAGGAAGCTATCTTTTTAACCAACATTTGTTTCTCATTCTTTGATGAGATCAATCAATAATCAACTTTGGTAATAATTATTAATTAACACTTATAAACATAAAAATCGAACAAACAAAATACAAAATTTTAAGTAAGTCGTTGTTTGCGCACTTTTGTTTTTGCAAATTTGTATGATCTACTCATATGACAATGTCTGAGCTATATCATTTCCAATGGACAGCAGGACCAGATCAGAAGATTGTCTTCTGCTAGAGTTGACCCCTAAGGTACGTTTTAATTAACCTGAGCTTGCTAAAGCTCCGTTCACCTTTCGCCGCCCTAACAGGAATGGTTACAAAAAAAAAAGGAGAGCTGTCCAGATATTAGGGAACTTATCTTGCCAATTATCCAATACTAAGATCTGAAGGACTGCTTTTGGGGTGACCTCTATCACTATCTAAGAACTTCTCCAAACATATTATTTCCCTTTTAGGGCTGGATTATTTACTTTTTGATAAACTGTCAAATAATGCAATCTGACGGATAAAAAGGCAATCGCAAACCCCGGCCAATTATTCTTCGACGAATAGGTTTATAGATTCGTGAATTTATCTTGCAGACAGTCACCAGAAAATTTATTTGGAAATGAAGAAACCGGGCCTAAACGTTCCATGGATTCACATACCAACCACACGCTTGCTCGCAAGCAGAATAGCAGGATATCGAAAAGCGAAAACAGGATTCAAAGCAGTAATGTATTTTTTTTACATCAACGATTCGGAGGCGCCCCTTGAGGTCTGGCGCCTGGAGCGCTCGCTCCGTTCGCCCTATGGTAGGGCCGGCCCTAAACCTTCTTCTAGGTCTCTCATTTTCTCTCTACATACCCTTCGGTACCTACGCTTTTTCTGTGGCGCGCTCCCGTTCCCAAAAACTTCACAACGCATATATGGTTGCAAACTTTACCATTTGCTTTTCTATAGGAAACGTTTTAAAAAGCTAGGATTTGAAGAAATAATATATCAAAATAGTGCACAAACTGTTGAAGGGTCTCTCTGGAAACTGACTTGATAGTTATTTGAAGAATTCGTTAGATTCTAAATTTAGGAAAATTCCATATTTTAACCCTAAGTTGATAAGATTTAGAAGCGAATATTTCTAAGAAGAGTTTCACATGTTTCCTTTACCAGCTTGAAATAATAGTTAGGTACGGTACATGCAGTTTACAATTCACCCTATTTTAGAATAAGCGATTAACACGAACGATTACGGTGAGGAGTTTTATAACTCGATGTCTTGCAAAAGTTTGATGATATATTGAACAAACATAATGAATCTGTTTGAGAAAACGACGATAGCTCTGGGAGATCATTGTTAATTAAAGAATATTTAATACAGACTTTAAAGGGGGTGTGACCCTAAAAAACGACTTAAGCTACTTCAATCAAGAAAAAAATTCTAGGATTTTTCGTGAAAACCGCAGTCCTAAATTCGAAATAGACTCGGAGAAAATTCCTTGTGATGTCACAATCGCCGAAATCGCTGCCTTCTGTTCGTTCAGTCGTCAGTGAGCCGTACCCTATACTTTGAGTGGTTGCAATTCGCTCTAGGAGATAATTGTCTTTTGTTTTGAAAAATTCTTACACGTGTTAATACTGTCCCTGATAATCCAGTGGCAACACCTAGTTGTAACTTTAAACCCTCAGACTAATAATAAAACTATAGACCAAACATGCCATTTAGAAATCGTCCAATGTTCACAATCAATCATCTTCAAGTCCATGACATAAGTAAGAGAGAGATAGACCTATAAAATGGCAACGCTGTTCAGTGGCGGCGTGTTCAGTTTCCTCTGAATTTTTTCAGAATCCAAAAGAAGTTTTACTCACAATAAATTGCCATAGATATCCTCTAACTACGCCAATGTCAAGAGTAAAATGATGTCAAATTTCTTACCGCTGAAATATTGAAATGTGCTTGGAATCATTACAAATAATACATCGACGTTCCATTTTAATGTTTTCCACCACACTTTCCACAGTTTTAAATCCAAAAATACCACTGATTAACATTCAAAATCACAAAATTATCCTATCACTTCAAAGCAACACTGCCAAATCCGTTATGGATGACATAAGTCACATAAGATCATCTTATTGGCTGCTCGTAGATGAAATGTTGCCGATGTGCCATTTTTCGAGCAATATATTCCTGGCTATTCTAGAATTTTCAGCAATTTAAATTAAAAAAAGACTAACTATCCTATTTAAAAAGGTATTCAGGTTATGTTTCAACAAAGATTGATATAAAAAAGCATTTACATTATGTTAAAACATATTTTGAAATAATAATTATCCGTGAACACATTTAATATTGAAAATCACACCAGATTGTTGGCAGGCATTTCATGCAAAAATCGACCTCATGGATGTTGGATCGCAAATTATTTGTTTACTGTTGTATCTGTCGTTTTTAGTTGTTAATCTGTGTTTAAACCGCCCTAACTCGAAAACGGACCATCGTAGCAAGATACGGTTAAGATATTTATTCATAGATTTTTTTGCACTGAAACTTTCATTTTTGAGTCACACCCCCTTTAACAAAACCTCTCATCCTAACTTCTTCTTAATGAACATTATTTTCTGGAGCGCATGTTCATCCCAGTTATGTTCTATTGGTTTCAGATCCGAACATCTTGGAGGCCGCTTCACCGTTTTTAGAATCAGTAACTTCCGCAGCAGTGTGAAGTCGAAGTTAATAGCTTAATATCATGTTAAAAGCATACAAACACCAAAATACGCAAAATACTACAATACATGTCGAAATAAATCATTATGAAATTCGTCCAGACTGTATTAGGCCTTACCAATCAAAATCTTAGGGACTCCTCTTTTGAATTGCTCAGTTTGTGATTAACATACATCCATCAAAAATATCTTTATTCTGAAACCATAGAGAAGATCAAATTTTACGTGTTATGTGTTTCAAATTTTAACTTTGAGTAAGAGTTTCGTTTATTCCAGAGCCCCCGCCCATCGGACTCGGACTCATCGGACTGCGGTGGCCGTAGCGGTGACGAAGCCGACGGACGATCTCACTCGTCGCCCACACCGCCGCCGCCGAGGTTGCCCGCCTCATTGTCAAGTTTGCCGCCCAACATGACGTCCGTTGACGTAGCGTTGGCAGTGGCGGCGCTAACAGGCGGTCCACCTCCTGGCGTTCCACCTGGTGCGCCACCATTGCCTTTCTACGCGCCAAGTATGCTCACGCATAACGCATGGTGAGTATATGACACGCATTTTATAAACAGTACAAATTATTTATACTCGTCATAATTATAGCCCAAATTAGCGTTCTGGTTGGGTTACCTTACGACAAAATATTCGACATAAAATCACGCTTTTAAAATAATTACCTTAGTCCTGTCACTGTTTGTGACATTTGAGATACGCATCACAATTTAGCAGGGTGTGTCATGGCAAATTGTTGGTATATGTGGCAGAGGCTGATGCATCTGGCTCATTGGGGCCGCTCGACTTTCACTATTGCAAATATGTAAAAGGGTGGATCAGGAGCTTTGCCGTAGTTGAGAGACAGCTTGTGACTCTGGATTTCCTCAAATGCGCAGACCCAGGCCTCAAGTTCCTCCCAAACTTCCTTTGCGTCTTTGTTCTTACCCAACCCTTTGATGAGCCTCTCTTCATACAGAAAATATAAATTGCTCCTGAACATTTGGTTACTGCTCTAGGGGTAATTGAGATGACCAACCGATTTTTCTTAACATCATGAAATTTATTGCGGAACCTTTCATGGGTGTCCAGAAAAAGTTTGGATTTTGTAACATTTTTTAAAATGATGGGAACTGTTTGGGGGCAATGTTTTTGTTAGAAGTGTGTTTCAAATTTGGCTTTCCATAGGTTGTGATTATCAGGAGTAAGACCAGAAATACTTTGTCTTCCAGGTATTTAGCCAACGTGGCGCGTCAATTCCAATCGACTAACGCTGCCCCAGTTATCGCTGAAGCAGATAAGAACAGTGGAGGTGTCGAGCAGCCTCTAGACCTCAGCAAAGGCTCCAGTAACGCTTCCAATAGTTCTCCAGAACCCAAAGCGACCATAGGCAACAATGTGAGGCTGCCAACGTTGGAGACCAAGCAAATATTCAGGTAAGAATTTTTCATTGAGAATAATGTTGGTCAACTATGTTGCGGTTAGACAAACTTTGACAGACTTTATTGACGAAATCTAACCAATCCCGACAATACTTTATTCTAATTGACGAAGTCTCAATTCCTTTGTTGTAGAGAACAGAAAAAAAAATACGTAGGATTCCGAATTGCCAATAAAATTAGGAGATTTCAAATATGTAATACGATAAAAATAAAATGATGAATTTTTTTTACGAATAACTTCGAACAGATTCGGAACTTTCGAAATGTACAACACCTTAATGTACCACAATTATTGTTGTCCAGTATCAAAACCTATTTCTGCCTAGTTATAAAAGTTTATTGCGGAGTTTTTTGAACACCTGCTGCTGCTACCATAAAAATGTACTTTTTCAATAACACCTCAAGAATTGTCAGTGCAATCAATGAAGCCAAGTACTGCATGAAAAACCCATTTTGAACCGGAAAAGGAACTTGCATGCTATTAGCAAAAATGAAAAATTAAGTGTATAGTCCTCCTGAGGGAATGGAGGAAATTACTTAAATGGAATCCCTTTTAACTTTTAGTTAGAACCGTATTTCCATTTTTTGCTAACGAAACGCCTATGCGTATCATCGATTTTGAGTTGGAACACACTCTTGAAAATTTAAAATGTGACTGAGTAATGTAAAAGGTCAAACGTAAGCTATACTTGTTTCGAAGAACCTATCAATAAATTGTCAACGTATGACAATGCTAATCAAGCAAGTTTCTTGTGTAACTCAAAAATGAACCAGAGAGATATTAGGATGAGAATCTTAAAATATTAGATCATTTACTCTAGGTGAATTTTGTTATTTAAAAAAGTAATTGATAGTATTCTGAGTAAGTTCTCACTAAAACCCTTTTTGGTTGCTCTAATACGATCCAAAAAATATTGAGCCATCGGAGACCTATCCATGCCGATGCCTGCATAAAGAAGCCCTTAAAAATATTAAATTTCTACCGTATGTCATCGATAACGGTGATTATGGGAGCCATTTCGTATGCTAAGCGATTAGCTTGGTTTGCTATAATCGGTTTTGCAAGCAAGTAAAATTGTTAGAGGGTGTATAAAATATTGAACTTAATACCTGTAAGGGTAATAATGGGTTTATTGGTTGACTATAATATGGAATATATTCTCGTAGGTATACATTTATGTATTTCAAACAGCTAGATAGCAATAGTTAATGGGATGAGCTTCTTATGCTTCCTATTGGCTGGCGATAACAGAATCTGGAATCTTCCAAATTTTTTTTAGTTTTAGGAAATAGTAGGTATATAAATTATAGCCGCGTAATAGCTCTATAAGAGCTGTTCCTTATTTTTGAGGAAAATAATAAAAATCTCCTAAAAACAAATTGTCACAAAGAAGTGAACTGAGAGAATTTAAAAGAAGAGACCTGTAAAAGACACAAAATCAATTAATTAACGAGGGTCTCCATTATCAAAAACTTCATTATCACCAACAGTGACAAAGTATTATGAAAAAAGTTATTGTCTTTAAATAACTTTCTATCTTGAGTTAAATGAACTTAGACTGAGAGAATATTTTTAATCTAAAACAGGTCAATTACAAAGCCATGAAAACATGGTAAAAATGTTTAAAAGAAGACGTCTTTGCTCTCGCGGAATAATCCTCAATTTATCGGTCAAAAACTTTCCTTATCAGCTTTATTTGTAACACTCTTTAGTCAATTTATTTGCTTTCTTGGAAATGATGCGATGTTTGTCTGAAGTGCATAAAAAATGATGCACAATATCAACTGGTATTTGTGCAGCAGTAATTTTTATGTTTTTGTAGAAAAACGCAACGGAAGTTCGATTTATCGATAATTCGGATTACGAGGAATTAATCGAACACTTTGGGTGGCAACTGAATATTTATTTGTTTGTCTTTTATATTTAGATTTATTGTTTGAAGAGGGCATCGATGGCACTCATTGAGGAATTGATTTCTCAATAACGTTCATTTACAATCACGAAAGTAGGTAGTTCAAACAAGTAATTGCCAGAAGATTTATTTCTATTTATACGAAATTTATCAACGGTTCTATTTGTCGATAACTCAGATTCAACACTTTGATGACTTTGAATGGCATTCTAGATAAAATTCTTTGACAATCACGAAAGTAGTATACAAAAACTAATTGCCAGAAGATTATTTTAATGTGTACCAAATTTACCACTGATAAATTGCACCGATAAATTTACTGTTAAGCTACGCCGATTTCTAAATATGAAGATGCATTAGCGGAAGTATCTGAACGGTTACCATCTAAAATTATTATTAATTGCCGGTTTTAAATTCCAAAAGCCGGCAATTTCTTCTGAATTTAAATCGGTACAATTTGACGGGAAGTAAAAGCAGCAGCGCAATGTAATGTGATTAGGATTTTAAATGCATGCATGGTTGGTCTAGATACGAAAACCATGATTCTTTACCTAGTGATGGGTCCAGTTAAGTAGGTTAAATTTTGAATTTAACCGAAAAAAAGTCGCCAGGAATTTCAAATTAAATTTTTCCGTTAAAAGCGTTCTCTAATACAATTAGTTATAGGGCATGGTTCTATAATTTTTTAAATTACTCATTACTCTTTTATATTTATTATAGAGAGATGGAATAATCACGAAAAACGAAAAGTATCTCAAATTTTTATATTTTTGCTCCGTTATTGAAAAATTTTGCTCCAAAACAGTTCCGTAGTTACAGAGATTTGAAAAATATCTATCACCCACCCCCCCCCCACAATTTTTTTCCTGACTATGGATTCTTATACTAGGTACTAATTTTACTCCATTTTGCTCTGTTATTGAAAAATTTTGCTCCAAAACCGTTCCGCAGTTACAGAGGTTTGAAAAATATTAATCAGCCCCCCTCACAACTTTTTTTCCCTTTTGACTGATTCTTATACTACTACTACTATAATTTTGCTCCGTTATTGAAAAATTTTGCTCCACAACCGTTCCGTAGTTACACAGCTTTAAAAACTATTAACTAGCCCCTCACGCCATCTGACTGTGGATTCTTGACAAAATTACAGTTAACATACTAAAAGAGGGAACAAAAAAGGACAAAATTAAAGTATAATTAAAACTTGAGTATAAGAAGTATAATTGTAGGTATAACCCAAGTTAGCTACTAGTATTACAATGAATGACAAGTAACTCAAAATTCCGGAATAAATATAGAGGTTGGCCTCTGGTTTCAACCAGAACCATAAAACAGATTAAAAAAAGAAATGTTTCTTATTAACAGATCAACACCTGGAGAACGTCATAAAAAAACCCGAAAGTGAAACATACAATGGTTGAATCGAATTACTTGCACCAAAACGCCTACGCACGATAAAATTTGATTTACGGTCACTCAGAAAACTCGTCAGTAGGCAAGCGTCCGGAACGCATTGCAGGATTTAATGACCAGTAAAAAAAACAAAAACTATAGAGATTTTGAGTCACATAAATTTTGAAATACGTTACACGCTAAACGGTAAACTGTGGAAGCGCAGTCTTTGAAAAATTGCGGATGACATTTTCAGGTTTTTGGCTTTAGCAGCCGAAATGTTCGATAGGGTAGTGGGAAGATTGCAGAAGAAGTGAACTTTATCGTATAAGACGGCGAGCATGACCATCCAAGAACTCTATGAAATTTTTACAATGGATTTTAAATCTGCCCCCATCTGGCGAAAATCTTGAAAATGTACGCTGTCAAAAATTGAGTAGAAAAAGTGGTCAGATTAATGATAAAACCGGCTGGTGCAGTGGCAAGTGATTTTTAAATATTTTATCCAATGAAAGTGTCTAAAAGAATTGAAATCTAGAAACATGAAAAACGGAAGAATCAAGAATCAAATTGGACGAAATATTGGAACATTAATAATATATTCATGTTTATCATTAAATACTGATAGGTACATTTTGTCTTATAAAAATTTAATCCGAATGCAAATAATTCAAGATACGGAATATTCGCCTGTACATTTTCGAATGTGGCGCATACACATACAAACATTTGGCGTCTTTTTCGAGCGATCGTTGGGGGGCTTTCAACTTGACCTGGATTTTTGCTAGTTGGCAGCTGGCATGATCTTTCTTATTCATCTTCAGTCATGTGTGTACATGAACAGACATATTCAGTGCTATTATAGTCAAAATGTTTTTGCGAAGCAATTCATTTAAAGTGCGTTTTAGTACGCTGATAATAAAAAAACTTTTACAAGTTCCATATAAACACACAGAAACATATGGTATATATAACTATTATTATCTTTAAAAGGATGAATTTAATAATGAGCATCTTCTACAAACTCTTATCGGCAGTGGCGTAGAGAGGGGGTGGAAGGGGCGCGGGCGGACCGCCCCGGGTGCCACTTTTAGGAGGGCGGCAAAATTGCCCCTTCTTGTATGGTTTATCTATTCTCAATTGAACCACCACAAAAAATAAATCTCCATTAACAGTCGGCGTTTTCTTTATGAAGCATAGGCGGCGAGGTTTCTAAAAATGTTTCATAATAAATAATAAATCAATATAATTTAGATATTATTCTACGTAAAATTTAATTTATATTTATTATTTATTTGAGATATTTTGGAATACACATGCCCTAGTGCCGTTTAGGAGATATTTTTTAAAAATTTTAAACAATTATTTCATAAAAATATACACACGTATAAACCTGCCTCCGCCTCTGACAAAAAACCAAACTCCTGTGAAAGTACACCGGCGACGCCGCGCCGTCGCGTCACGTAGCATCGCCCAGGCAAATAAACATGAAGAAATCTTTTCGAAATTTCGTTCCGACAACCAGTATTTCATTTTGCCGATTGTAGTTTCTAGTAGGGAATATTCAAAACATTTATATAGGTTTTTTGAGTATTTATTCACGCCAAAGGTGCCTAATATTTGATCGTACCTTATACATAGATTGAAAATAAAGTGGTTCAATTTAGAATAGATAAACTATACCCTTCA